CTGCCGATCTGGCCAGCCAGAAGCCTCCCAAGAAAAACCCTCCGACATCCCAGCTCTCCCTGTACCCCAATCAGCCCTGGGCCTAACACACAGGTGAGGTTTTTTTTAACCCAATCTCACCTTCCCCGAACGGGTTCTCCCAGTCCCAAGAAACCAGCCCCAGATCCCAATTGAGTTACACTCTGGATCTTACCCACAAGATCACGCTGAGCCAATCCTTTAGCATCTAAAATCTAAAGGTTTATTACTAAAAGAAAGAAAAGCAAGAGCGTGAGGTTATTAAAGATGCATCGAATCGCCCAGTTCTCAATACAGGCTCTTAGCAGAGATGTTACAAACCGCTATCTTAAAAGTCTCTGGTGTACATCCTATGTCAGGATGGGTCCGTGGTTCTTCCCGGCTCATTGTTCCCTGCAAGGCTGCATCTGGGATCAGGAGCTGAACTCAAGACAAGATGGAGGGTGCCACATGGCACTTCTATACCTCTCCTGGCATTTTCCTGGCCAGAGAAGGTCACATGGTCCAATAACCTATTGCTGTGTCCCATGCTGGTAGCCCTTAGGCCCTGGCTGGTTTGCAGGTATCAGTCCCATTCTTGAGGTGTGTCTTGGCACCTAGTGCTTCATTGTCTCCTTGCTAATTAGCATCTCCATTGGCTGAGCATTCCTTGCCCATTGCTTAGCCACAGACGGAGAATTTTCCAGCATCCATACAGAGTCCATGTTTCTAACTCCACACACATATATCATACAAATACATGAGCAGCACACACAGAATCAGTAGAACAGAAGCTTTCATGTGACACCTCACCTGGCCCCCTTTGTATAGACTTTTAGGGCAAACCTCCCCCCTACCCTTATGGGTACAACAGTGATCTTTAGAATCTGATAATGTGACACCCCCAATGCAAAACTGATGCAGGAAGTGATGGCAGTAACATCACTGAGGGCATCATAGGACTCCCCATGTTTTGACTCTGTGTCATCACCTGTCCTAATCCAATGTTAGAAACAATAGTACAGAACTGGACAAGTATATGAAAACCCAATTTGCTGAAAATAGGCTTCATGATTGCAAAGTTTGTCATAACGACCTTGCCTGGTTTTATAAACCCAAGGGAAAATCTGGTAAGAATCATAGCCAACTGGATCTACTTTTGCAGTATGATTCCCACATGTGTCATGCGATCTTGCCTGGAGATGAAGAAAATAGTAAATTTATACAGGCCAGCTCGGGCAACTCTCTGAACTCCAATTAACATTGTATTAATGAAGGTATTCTCACCCCTCATAGTATAGGTATCTTGGTCCTTACCCATGAAAACAAAATGGTGGTGTGCCTCAGTTTCCCCTTTCACATAGCACATTATGGCTGGAATCTCCTTTGACATGTAAGAAGTTCCAAGATCAGTTACAGGTATTAACCATGAAATAGCAACTTCCCAAGCTCCTTTAACATACAGTCTGTCATCTGGTACATTTCTTGACAGATTCAATAGTTTTTTTCAAAACAGTATGCACATTGTTCATTTTTACAGTTGTGTGTTACAGCAGCACTTTGTTTACAAGAGTTAACATCAGTAATAGGAACAAATCGATATCCAGTGTACGTTGACAGTACTTTCTCTCCTACCACATCTTTGCCTCCACCCTTCAGGTTTGAACTGTAAGTCTCTTTTGCCAAAGCAAGATCTGCCCTTCCCCCTTGGGTGGATTCAAAACCCGAAGCCTCTGGCCTCACAAAGACAAAGGGCTGTCTGGGCGTGTCTCCCTTGCTCACAATGGCCATGGAATCCTCTCTCTCTGCCCCAGTCTAAGGGCGTGGGTCCGGGATGCAGACAAAAAGCTGGGTGTAGACTCCATGAGAACATCTGGTGATGCTGAAGCCCCTTGTGCTCTGTTCTGATGTAGGAATCTTGTGAAGGAAAAGACCGGAGTTCCTGGGGGTGAAATGGATTCAGGAGAAGAATAAGGAGGACCTTCCCTGCCTACAGTAGATAAGTAGTTAGCTGGGCTGGCTCCAGCCATAGACTCATGAACAGTGTCTCTTTCATCACCACTCCTGTGGCTGACAGAACCCGTGTCCCCTCCAGGAGGTGTGGGTTGGGCAGTGGAACCTCTGGTGGCATCAGCAGTACCTTTCAGAACAGTTGTGGGTTTCCTGGTAGAGTTCTCACTGGCCTGTCCCAGAGATTCAAGGCCTATAGCAGGCTTGCTGGGAACCGATTCTAGTGGAGCCGTTGTTGTCAGGAATGCAGGGGATAACTCCGCAATCTCCGTGCCATTTACAATGGCTGTAGCATCTACAGTAAACGCACTAGGAGCACTGGGAAGTACATCAGCTGTTTAATTTCTACTAGAGCTTACAGATTTGTATGTCGGTCCTGTGGGACTCTCAGGTAGTTTGACGGCAGTGGTGGGATCTGCAATGAATCTACTGGGGACGGTGGCAGATACCTCAGTAGCTGGACTCATGGCAGAATCTGTGGACTTGTTTGCAGAGTCTACAGATCTCATGGAACCCTTGCTGCCATTGGCAGTAGGCTCAGTATAGATAGTAGATGGAGGACCCGTCCCGTTTAATGCTGAGCAGGGTGTGGCAGAGGATCTCATGGCCTCTTGCACAGTCAATGTGGAGGTGTTGGGCTCCTCTGTCCTCACACCAGAACCATGTACTGCTTGGGAGACTGTTGTGCCAGCCCCAGGAATAGGACTGGTTAAAACACCGGCCTGTCTTGGGACAGAGGCAGTGCCACCAATGAGTCTCTCTAAATCGCCTATGTCTTCTGGCACAGCTGCAGAAGAGACCGTGCTTGAGGGGGGTGGATCCTGAGGGGCACTTGTCTGGTCTAGCCATCGGACTGCTTCCTGCACCCAGCTCTCCTCTGGATCTGCACAGAACTCCTTAGACTTCTGCGTCACAAATCTGAAGGGAGAACAGAAATGGCAACAATCACCAGAAACAGAAAGGAAAAGCTGATAAATATCCAAAGCCTGGATGATCGCAGCCCTGGGAAGCTCATGCCACCCTGGCAGAAACTAGTGAAATTAAATTTCCCATTGCCGCCTGAAAGTTAAACAGAGCCATCTTTTGTGGGTAGAAATGCAGGCAATAGGGATCTAATCAGTTGGGCGTTTGAATCATCCTTTGATCTGACGAACCGTTTCCTGAGGATAGACTTTCCTTTTCCCATTCACTGGCAAAGTAATTATTTTTAAATGGAGCAGCTGACGCAATTATATCCTGAGGACGTTGAAATGAAGTTTAAGGGGCTGACCGTGTAATCACCTATCGGGTCGGATCCTGATCCCACTGAAACTGGAGGGAATTTTGCCTCCAAGTAGAATGTGAGCATGGCCAGACTGTAACTCCTAAAGCACAGTCAGGCTTGTAAAATGGCTGCTAATGTCACAGGGCTCCATTCTTGGGCCTCACTGCCGCCAGGTTGTTATTTATTACTTAGTAGCTACAGGCCCCTCCTGAGCTCCTGGCTCCCCTGTGCTTGGTGTTGTACGTGTGCAGGCCATGGTCCAAGTAAGAGGCCTATGATCTGAATGCACAAAGCGGATCGAGAGTGGGAGGGACAGAGGCAGGCCACTGGCCAACCAGGGAACAGAACTCAGCTTTCCGGGCTACAGCTGATGGGGTTCAGACTCTGAAGTTTTTCAGAGAACATCCGCTTTCCCTCCGCTGCAGCATCTTCCCTAAGCATTAATTAAAAAAATCCCTGCTTCTTTGTCTATGCTGGTAAACTAGTTTACATGGCTCCATTCGACGGAGCCATGTAGTCTAGATGTACCCTAAGAGGACAATAGAAGAGCATATCACTTACATAGCTTTGGGTAAGCATAAGCCTCTTCTCTTAGACATTGTCAAACTGCAAGTTTGGGGGATTCAGATAAATAGTTCTAGTTTTGAGCAGAAACTATCTTTTTCTGATGCTGGCTCGGTAGCTAGCACAAATAGACTTGGGTTCAGTTTTCTGGCTTAGCTTCTCACTCCCAAGGCCAATAGGGATTAGATACGCTGCAGAGACTGTAGGTCTGATTTACTGGTGTCCTGCACCTGTCTAGATTACAACGATTTATTGGAAAAAGGTACACAAATTTCAGAAAAGCCTCCTCTTTCAGAAGAGCCCTTCTTCCTCATGGAAGAGGAAGACAGAACTACTGAAAGAGCACTCAAAAAAAAAAGGAGAAGGGCAGACACGTTCCCAGGATGCGGCGGAGTTTTTCCAGGATACCATCCCGTACCCCCCTCCCCAGTGTAGACATAGCCTTTGTGTCGTTCACTGTTCACTGTTCACTGTCCCATGTAGAGGCACTTAGACCATTTACAGTGAGAGATAAGAATAAGTGAGCACTATAGCCTAAGCTGAGAGCCAGCTGGCTTTATAACTCAGGCTGTAGAGACTCCCACACAGAGATCTCAGGTTCAAATCCCCCAGGGACAGCTACATTTATAGGACCTAACACAACAGGGACATAATCTCAACTGAGGCCTGTAGGCAGTTTCCAGAATGTGATTTGCACCAGAACAAGGGTCTTTGTGGGATTTGGGCCTGTTTATTCTCAGAGTTGTAAATTAAATTAATCCTTTCTGAATTCAGTATTTAAAGAGCACCACATGGTGGGAAAGTACTTACATGACAGCAGCTTTAGGACATGATGGTTCTGTCTTCTCGTAGGACTTCAGCAGTGCCTGGGGTATTCTTTTTGAAAATTTGGTACATTTATATTTGCACGGCACATTTGCTCTGGGTTGTGCTACGGCAAAAAAATAAAGAAACCCAGAAGTAACAGCTCATGCTCTGGATATAATGAAAGCTGCAAGCATTCGTCTTTCGCCTCCAAAGACTGCTACCAAATTGGACAATCTTGAGCTGATCCATGGAACAAACCCTAGCAAGGAACAGTCTCAGCAGGGCTAAGGAAGTGCTGTAAGAAGGGAGGGAAAGTCCCTAGCAAAAGCATGTGAAATCAAAAGATTCTTGAGAACACTTATTAAATCAAGAGCCCCAGTGGGCTCCGGGTGGATGGGGACTCCACCGAGACTCTTGCTTGTCAGTTCCGATCTGAAGGGCATCGCTAAATGCTGCAATCGCTGCGCTGTGGGTAAAACCAGGCAACCGCCATGCTCACCAAATAAAGGACAAAACCATCCCAAGCATGTGAACGAACACTTTGCACAACGAAGTCAGACATAGTGTGATGGACCAGCCCTCTGCCTCAAAGGAGACCTGCACAGCGCTTTCCAAAGACTAGCCTGGGAGTTTAAATTTACAAACGCCCACCCCTCCTGCCCCGCTAGGCTTTGACATGCTAGGTGTTACAGAGCAACTGAGTAAAACAAATGGAAACACAGAGGAAATCTCTGGGTATGCTCTTAGATAGTGGATGAGGGAGGGAAGGCAGAGACTCACAGAGACACATTTAACCAAACAACCAAAATAAAGAAAAATACCCTGATTGCGATTAAACATACATTCCTCTCTGTACTCACAATCTGTGCTGATCTGTACTTCAAGGCCCAGTTCACTCCCATCCCCAATATTCCTTGTACGCACGGTAATTCTGATTGCTGCATCTCCTCCCTCCAGCCCTTACCTGAGAACTCACACAAGACAAAAGCAGCAGAATTTTACATTTCAGCGATATGTCCCCATTGGTTCTTCTGGCTCCCTTGCTAGCTAACTGAGTTTAACCCTTTAGTCACTGGTGCTGGCCAGTACTCCTCCTATTCATCATACCAGGTAAAACAAAATCCCTTGTTTGGATTGACATGTTATCCATGGTCCTTGTAGATCAATAACAATCATTGCTTCCTCCCAGTAACTTCCGTATGGTATTTTTTTCTGGAGTTCTCTATCCATGACTGTGAATTAGGCCTTGTCTACGCTAAGTCTCCCCTCTTCCCCCCGTCGATCTAATTTAAATGACTTCAGCATGTAAATAGTGTCAATGAAGCTGCTGCATTTACTGCAGCATCTTGGGTGCAGCAAGGTCGATGGGGGATGCTCTCCTGTCAATTCTGGCTACTCTTCTCGTCCTGGTACAGTACCCAGAGTTGACAGGAGCGCTCAGAGGTCAACTTATTGAATCTAAGCAGACACAATAAATCGACTGCCTGTGGATCCATCGCTGTGGCCTCAGAGAGCAGTGCTCAGAGTAACCCTTTGGCAATGGAGACACTCACAGAGTGAAGTGTTTTTCCACAGGAACTAGGTGGGGGGAGGGCAGAATATGGCCAATGAGTACGGTGGCCATATATCCTGGAAAATCCAGGACAGTCCCTAATTTCAATCCCCTGTCCCGGTGTCCCCGCAAACACTGAAAATGTCCCAGAAACAGCAGCCCTGCTAGTAGCAGCTGTGCACTGCTATTTCCCCTCCCCCTCCGCCTCCCAGGGCAACTCAGGTGTGCAGGGACCTCCCTAAAGAGTTTTCCCGCTGCTCTGGAACCCAGCCAACAGGAGCGGTGGGAGCGGTGCCTGACCTCTGGCCCTCTGCTCTGCGGGCAGGTAGTCTGGGAGCCACACGGGTAAAGCAACAGCATGTAAGCGGCCACCTTCCCCTCGCAGCCCCTCCACGAGAGCCCGCTGCCCCTCTGCCCGTTACACTTAGTAAGAGCCACGCGAGGTCTCTCAGCTTTAAAAGGAAGAGACGGCGCCAGCTGAGCTGGAAATCAGCTGATTCCCGGCTCTGCGCTGAGCGCTGGCTCTGCCCTGCGGCTCTAACAGTGCGGTCCAGGGTCCACGGCTTGAGCTCAGCTCCCCCCTCCCCCGCTGGGATAGTGGTGGCTGGAGCGGGCCTATTTCGGCTCTTGGCACTGGGCCGGGATCAGGCGCCTGATGCAGCGGGAGGTTGGGCCGAGCTGCGGCTCTGAGCAGTACTGCAGGCAGCAAGAGGCAGCGCTCACCCCTCCAAGGGGGGCATTGCAGGCTGGGCACCCCACACCTGCCCACGCAGGGAGCTAGTGGGCGCCGGGTCCCCGCTGGGGCGGGAGCTGAGGGGGCTGTGTGGGCTGCCCGCGTGCGGGGCTTGGCTCCCAGGGGGCTCCCGCGGCACCTTCTCTGGAGACTTGTGCCAGCAGTGGGCAAGTAAAGTCTGAGCCCGGCCGGGCTGCAGTGGCTGCAGTGCAGGGCCCTGGGGGCCG